ATTTTAGGAGTCACTCAATGTTGTATATGCTTGTTGGTGTCACAGAATTAACCAGTTTCTTGTTGGTATCATCCCAGAGAGTGCTCAGTTTAGCCTGTAGTCAGTAATGGTGTTAACTCTTTCAGGTAGGCTAAAAGCATTTTGATTCAATGAAAATTTCAGTTCTGTATTTTTTGGATTTGAAACTTTACATATCATGTTTTCTTCACTCTGTCCAAACAAAACGTGCTGAGGTTCTGGCTTCTATTATGCATCAGTTGTTGGAGAGCTCTGATGGGCAGCTGAAACCCTCCTCATCTTTTGTCTGTCTGAATAGAAATGTAGCAGAAATGTGGCATTGTCAAACCAATAACCTGCATCTCACCTGGTTTGGGTGCCATGTGTGGTGGTGCAGAAAGCTGTCTGTGCTGTGAGGAACACCACAGAGTGCCTTGGGATGGAGAACAGCAGAAAAGACCTTCTGCTTGGGGAGCTGGCTTGAACACTTCTTCACCACTCAGTGGCTTTCATAGAAGAGGTTTTTGTGATAAAGCAGGGAAAAAAAAGAAAATAAAAAGAGAATGATATTTTAACTGGCACCAGAAAAAACTGATGCAAAATAGCTCTTATGAAAGTGCCTCTTTTTAAAAAGTGGCTATCCCACTTCTAATGTAATCATCAGAAGTGACTTGTTGCTGGAGGCTTAGTTCTGTGTAGTCTTAGTTCTGTTTCTTTCTGTTGCCTTTTGTATAATGGATGTGACTGCTGTCATCTGAATTGTTTACTGCATGAAAGATATGTTCTTCCTTGTGCTCAAGTCTCCAGAGCCATCCCCAGCAGAGTGCCAGGTGATGCACTTCTTGTCCAGTGTACGTCACCGTGTGAGATGAGGCATGAGTCACTTCCCTCGTGGGCAGTGATGACTAACTGCTCTCCTGCATGTGGAGCTGCCACACCAGAGCTGGGCACACGAGGAATCATCACCTCCAGTCAGCTCTCTGGTGACGACATGATGTAAAAGCAGTTTATTAAGCAGCAAGATGAAAGACTTTTACAGCTCATAAAGGGGGAAAGCTCATAAGAAGGTAGTAAGAGAAGGAATATTTAATTTCTCATGAGTCTTCCTAAAATTGTGCTGCTTCTGAAATGTAAATCAGAAGAGATTTGTACACAAGATTTCACAATGTGTCACGTAAGAGTTATTAGGATTACACTATAAAAACAATTTCTTGTATAAGATTTTCTTAAAGAAAAGCACCTTTAGCGTACATGTCATAAAGCTCTTTAGAAATTTCTTGCTTTATTAATAATATGTAGAAGACACTTAGAATTAGGCCTAGGTACAAAATGTTCAGGGTAATTTCTGTGCTGTAAATCTTCTGGCACTAACATGAAGTATTTAGTTTTCAACTTTTCAACTGAGTCTGTATGAACACTTTGAAGAAAAAGGAGAGACAGAGACTGCAAACCAGACCAGACTCCTACCTTTGCAATAAAATTTCACTTAAAATTGCTTTGGAAACTCTGTCTTATAGCAACAGCGGATTTATACTTGGTACAAAAAGGCAACATCATGGATTAAAGGTTTTGTACTGTTCTTTCCATCTCTCAAGTCATGCCTCTGGTCCTGATCTTGACATTTTGGGTCTCTTTTCCAAAATTTTGAGAAGGTTTGACTAATAAAAATAACATGTTTTTAAATGTAAATACTCCAGTCCTGTGGAAGATTTTCTGATGTACAGATGCAGGTCCAAACTTTGGCTGGAAGGAGAAGAATGTAGTGATTCTTGTCCATAGCTCAGACTTGGGGAAACTCAAATTTAAGACGAGGAAAGCCAAGCAGTTTTCACAGAGTTTTTTAATTATCACATTTTTATGGAAGAAAATGAAGTTTCAAAGAGGGAATAAATGTGTGCCATTTATGCTACAGTATTACAGATATTGTGTATAAATACCAATGGCAATGACAGGAAGATGAAAAGTATTCTTTTTGTCTGCTAGTACTTTGTTAGCAGTGTTCAGATTTCAGGCTGGTCATTATCTTTTCAGTTTGATCTTGAGAGGCAGTGGTTATGAATAGGGGCAGGGATAGAACCACAACTCCCCCGCCGAGACGGAAATCTCCTCCCGCTTGAAGCCCACGACAAAACTCCCATCAACATCAAAGCAGAAAGATTCCAAGCACAGCAACCTGAATGCATCTGAAATCCACTGTTGGGCAGCTTGGAAAGGTCAAGGTTTTTTTCAAAGATTAGTAGGGAAAAGAAAAAGACCCAGAGCAAATCATGACAAGCATAAAGAGAAGAGGAAGTTGACAACTAAGTTCACAGTTCATCGCTAAATCTGTGTTTATTAAGGAAGCTGATTTTTGTGAAAACTGATACAGGCATTCAATTGACTTAGGTGTTTCTGCTTCAAACAAAAATGGGATTACTTTTTTCCTTGGTTTGATGTTAGGGAAATGAATACATAAGATTTGGGTGTCACACATGGTATCTGTAGCACTATTGTGGCTGTTTACTTAACTAGCATATTCTGCAAAGAGAAGACACAATTTCCCAGATTACATGCTAAAGTTTCTATTTTCTATATCTTGTAACTTTCAGTTTCCATGTTTGTGTTATTTTAAAAAACAAACCAAAACAACAAAATATTTGTAATCACAAAGTGCTTAAAATTTATTTTAAAATATTTTACAACTTTTTGCAAAGGAGAAACTGAAAGAGAAAAAAAAGGTTTTGATATGAATTTACTGCTCACTCAGTGTGTACAGAAAAGGAATTTAATTCATAACTTTGGATTTAAATCCAGTAGTTACATCTCATAATATGGCTTTAGTGTTCAAAAACAGAAAAATAACACCTCCAATGACATTTTTGCTCCTTTTTTCTATACTGGAGCAAATCCAAACCCTATTAGATTTATGGAGGCCATGAAGGTTAAGGAGTTTATTGTGTTAAGGAAGCATAAATTACTTCATAAAGCCACAAATGAACTCATTAAATTAATGTCTGCCTTATGAGTCTCCAGGGAGCACACAAGCAGGGTAAGGCATGCCCTCCTCATGGATGAGATGGGAGCTGACCAGCGTGACAGATGTCAGGAGGCTTTCAGGAGGGGAGGATGGGCTCTGGGAGAGCAGACTTCTGCTGCCCTGGAGCAGCTGCTGGTGCTCAGGGGCAGGCTAGGATGGAGCCTGAGCTTCAAGGTGCTGGAGAAGCTGTTTGTTACTCTATCAGGCCCTAATAAATTAGATTTTGGGAGACGCACGATAGTTAAAATAGACAAATAGAAGTGCTGTGCTTTTCATCCTAGGTTCTCCAGGTTTTTTTGCCCACTTGCTTACCTGTTGCTTTTGCAATTGTTAGTCATTTTTCCTGAGGTTGCTCTTGTGCTGTTCATGTCTTCACTATGAAAACCAGCTAAACTGCACCATGAGTTTGTAACTACTTATGCAAAAGCAGACTTGCACCACTATTTTCCTTATTGCTTCCTTTTGAGTTATTTTCCAGTTTCTTGTTTGTAAGTCACTGGCACAGAAAGGAATCTGTGGGACACATTATGGATGTAGCAGCACATCTTTAGCTGCACAGAGCCCTAAAACTGAGTTCATAGCAAGGGTTCATCATCCTGAATTCTGTAACTCAAAGTTTACTTATCAATTTTGATGTTTGGCACTGAAAGATGTCTTAAAGTAATTTTTGGTACAATTAGTGTTTTTAAAAGTGCAATCGTTTTGTCATATTGAAATACGAATTTTAAGGAATTTGTGTTTTGAGTTTATTAATTTCAAAGGTAAGACTTAAGCAGTCTGTAGAGTTATCAGAATTTGAAATCAGTTGAAGCTACACTTCCAGGGTACAAAATAGGGTTATTCACTTGAATTACCTTTTAAATGTGTTTTCAATAAATTTCACTTTTCTGTTGCCTTGAGCATTTAATGTGAATTAAACTTATACCATATTGGGCATCTTACTGTGTTTGATGAGACTAACACTGGTATGAAAGGATGGCATCAAAAAGGAGAGTGACACTAATTTTTCAGGTGTGCCTCTCTTACTTGTAGAAACAGCAATCATATGAGCTGTGTTCCAGAGAGCTCACAGCTTAAGCACACCTAAGTCTTGATTTCAGTTTGGGACTGACTGTGTACAGAGATCATTGATAATCAGTCGTTGGATAAATGAGGTTTATGATCCTGTCAGTAACAAATGACCTGAAGGCTCTGGCCAGGGTCAGCTCCCTGCTCTGTGTCATGGCAATGAAGGAGGTGTGCCAGGCAGAGTAGTGTAAGTACTAAAAACTCAGCTAAAACCGAGGCAGAACTGATGAACTGGCTTAAGTGAAAGGAAAAAAAAATGAAGTGTAGAACAGAATGTAATGCTCCATAAATATTTTATTAAAATGCTTTGCCGTATATTATTAGTTTCTCTATTTGTAAACACTGGCAAAGTGTAATCAAATATATTAAATAATATCTATTTAATATTTTATGTTTATGTTAACTCTCATGTTTATTCAGAAAAACAAATTACCACGTAACATTAGGAAAGTAAAATGCAGATTTTTTTCACTTCTGGAATAACTGCAAGGAACCATTCAAAGGATCTGCAGTCAGTAATTTTTGAGAAGGTGTTTGGGCATCATGTTGATTAATCAATACAGCTGAAATATGATCTATATCTTTATAAAACAGTCCTTTAGCTCTGTCTTCAGGATTTTTTTTCTTTTTTTTTAAATCTTATTCTAGTCAGAACTAAATTCCGAATTTCATTGTTGTTCATCCTTAAAGTGCATACAGGAATGGGGGATGAAGAGCTCTGCACTATCATGTATTTATTTTGAAATTCAGGGGCTGTTTTTGTATTTTGCAGACAAGGTTCTAATTCCAGGACACTGCTGCATGCAGTTGAATCAATGGTGATCACCGCAGATTCCTGACACTGTGAGAAGAGATTCTGCTGTTCTTCTTCTGCAGGGTCTTCATATGGGCCTCCAAACTGAGCTGAACTTCTCAGTTCAGCAAGAAAAGACAACATTTTATTTAGAAATAAACAAGTAAGGGATTTCAAATATTTCTGCATACATCAAGGAGAGCTTTCTTTTGGACTGTCTTTCTCTATGCACTTTGAAAAATGAGGCACCAAAACAACTTTATGTTGTTTTGTTTTTGCAAATAATTTATAGTGGTTTCCCAAAGTAATCAGGCTTTGCATAAATTATAGAAGAAAACCTGAGTGAAATATAAGAGGAAGTTAATGTTAAAGGGTTAAATATCTGTAAGGGATTCTGTTGCTCTCATCCATCTCTTCTAAATTTCTTCCCATGACATTTTTCACACTCTGGAGAAAATGAGTTTGAGAACAAAGTTTCTATTCAGGAAATTATTGCCAAATTTGGCCATGAATCAGACGATGTTGAATAATGATAACAATCATGGCTTGTTATAAGCAAAATAGCTCTTTTTAATTGGAAAACGTAGGCAAGGTTACTTACTTTCCCAATTGTTGGGAGCTGTGTTTAATCCTCTTTTATTTCCATGCTTGTTATTCACAGTGTTGTGATGCCATGATGGCAGGTGAGTGAGAATTGTGAAGAATCCAGTTCATTCCCCAGTTTTTTTGACCTTTCCAAGGATTTCAGCCAGCATTTATCAGTCTTTATTTGCTAGTAGGCTTGGGACATATTTATTCATTAACTCTCTGAGTGTACTTGTAAGCTCTATATTTTTGACAGACAACCATGATCTTCAGCTGTTTTCTTTTTTGTAACACTGTAGTTTCAATGTTGTCTGGATTTAAAAAAAATTGTTAATATCTTAAAAGCCAAAGAAAGCAGCTGTTACCCAGCTTTTCAAGACATTCTCAAGGAAATAGAAGATGGTAAGGGTCAAGTGAGTGAGTTGTATACTTTGTATTTATGTGTGTTGTAAGTCACAACCTACTTGGTACTCAGGTAGCTCCAAGTAAGGGTTGTAAGCCACCTAAGTACCTAAGAAATAAATGTTAGTTGGTACACAGGACACTATTAAAAAAGACATGGATGTAGCTCGTCTTTTAGCTGCCTAATAAACACTAAAATTACATTACAGATGTTTTCAACCGGTTTTAGATTAATAAATTTGAAGATGAGATGAGTAAATAGTTGTCAGATAGTCATCAGACATACAGGTACTGTGTACTTAAGAGCAAAATATGCTTCTTGTCTAGAAACAAGTTCTCTAGAAGCCATATAACCGTTTCAGGATGGTTGCTGCTCCTTACTCTCCTTTGTTGGTATAAGTTTGATGCCTCTTTTCTTAGTAGGTATTTCTGTTTGTGAATTTCAAAATGCTGGTAAGAGCTACACAAGCCAAGAAAATATGGGCTTTGCAAACAAGCTGTGAATGACCTGCCTTGAGGCATTCTTTGAGGTCAATAAGCTTTCCCCATGCTTCCACTGAAACCAAGTGGACTGCTGGGGGCGTGAGCACTTTCAAATGTTGACAAACAAAGACATTCTGTAGGGTTCACTGTCCTGGAGTATTTTGTTGGTCAGGAAGTAGAACAATTACACATTATGTATGCATGTACAGAAGGTGATACCTAAGAGTCATTCTAGCTGGGCAGGTTGAGGATGCTCTGGAAGCACCTCAAAAGTAAGAATTGCATTATGACATAATTATAAAACTAGAATCGTTAGAGATAAAAATTTTAAAATATAATACATTGGGATTTGTGGTAATATATAAGGTGAAAAGTAACTTTATGACTGATGTCATGACTACGTTTTGAAAAGTAACTTTTAATTTTTTTTCTGTGGTTCATTTATTTACATTCTAGTCTAGATTGTATCTTTCACCAAAAATCTTTTCAAAGAAGAAGCTGAAGAAGGATTAGAACATGTGAAAACAGCCAAAACTACCTTAAAAATCCTTAAGGATTTATTCTTTAATCACAGAAACATGTTGGAGAGTTACTTAGCCTGTGCCAAGGAATTTAAACCATGGGATTTCACATCTGAGATGTTGTTTTCCAGATATTTAAAATATAATGCATGTTGGGATTTGTGTTAATATATAAAGTGAAAAGTAACTTTATGACTTATGTAATGACTACATTTTGAAAAGTAACTTTTAATTTTTTTTGGTTCATTTATTTACATTCTAGTCTAGATTGTATCTTTCACCAAAAATCTTTTCAAAGAAGAAGCTGAAGAAGGATTAGAACATGTGAAAACAGCCAAAACTACCTTAAAAATCCTTAAGGATTTATTCTTTAATCACAGAAACATGTTGGAGAGTTACTTAGCCTGTGCCAAGGAATTTAAACCATGGGATTTCACATCTGAGATGTTGTTTTCCAGATTTGATATGTTCCCTAAAAGCTCACTGAAGATGGAGGTATAGCTTATTATCTCTGCTGTTGGATAAATACAGTATCTGAGAAATACGGGCTATTCTCAGCCATGCAGACAGCAAGGCTCAGGTTTCTAATATCCAGAAGACAAAATCACAGTTCTTAGAGGAGGGTTAGGAATGTTGAACAATATGAGAGTGTCACATGCTGTGCAAGGAGCAGACTAGTAATAGCATTATGAGGAATTGCAAAGGTGATTCCTAAATCCACCACTTCTTAGGGTTTTGGAAGCTGCCTTAGTAAAGTGCTGGTCTCCACATGCAGCCCATGGCTTGAACTTTCTCCTGAGCATGGCACCTCCCTCTGAGAGCTAAGGACTCATCTATTTATAGATATAAAAATGTAGTGTTTTAGGCTAGTCCTTGGACAAGACAGAACCCCCTTCAACTTCTTTTTTAAATCTCGGCCTTTAAGCAAGGGAAAATGAAAAATCTGAGGTCAGGAAAGAAGTGCAGAATATTTGTCTATTATTGTGATTAGCCAGCTGTGTCGGATGGGAGCAGCCATAGCTTTTGGTTCCTGCTCTTTTATTGTTCTTTACTGAAACGGGAAGAAGCTGTAGTAGGACACAGGACTGGCAGCTGATTAGAATAGGTTGAGTTTGAATAGAACTTTGAAGGTCATCTAATCCAATTCTCCTATGATGAGCAGGGACATCTTCAACTAGATAAGGTTGCTCAGAGCCCCATGCAACCTGGCCTTGAGTGTTCCTGAGATGGGGCATCCCAAACTTCTTTGGGCAATCTGTTCCAGTGTCTCACCACCCTTATACTAAAAAAACTTCTTCCTAATACTCAGTCTAAGTCTGCTCTCTTTCAGTGTAAAACTATTATCCCTTGTCCTGTAGCAACAAGCCCTGCTAAAAAGTTAGTCCCTATCTTTTTTATAAGTCCCCATTAAGTACTGAAAGGCTCTGATAGTGTGTCCTCAGAGCCTTCTCTTCTCCAGCCTGAACAATCCCAGTTCTCACAGCCTCTTCTCAGAGGAGAGGTGCTCCATCCCCCCAAGCATCTTTGTGGCCCTCCTCTGGACCCATACCCTTCCAAGAAATGTGAGGCTCGCTTTTGGGGTCTGAGCTAGAAAATTACGTACTTAAGTTCTGCAGTTATTGAGACAGTGTGCTTCTCCATCCTACCTCCACAATGCTACTCCACAAATGACTATCTGACCAAGAAATCAAATCTTACAGCATCTGACAGTGCCCACCAGCATGATCTGTGAAAGGGATTTGAGGTGAATGTGTTGCATCTTGGCTGTCTGTCATCAGAAAGACAGGTTGAGGTGATTTTATGGGGAAGAGCATCCTGTGCCAGCAGTTTCACCAAGGTGGCAGCTTGTGCCCATCAGAGACGTACACAGCCATTGTGTGTGAAGGGACTCTTGCTGGCAGTCTTGGTTCTCCTCAGTCAGGTGGGGCCACAGAGAGCCCTGCCCTGTGCCAGGGGTGAGGGAAGTCTGTAGGTGACAGTAGTGAGACAAGGGGTCTGCAGTGACCAGGGGTTTGCTTGAAGAAGCCATGACTGGTTTGCTGCTAGGGAGAATAGCTGTTCTGATTTCTAAACATACAAGGGAAAAATTATTTTCATTGGGGCATAAAACAATTACTTCATTCGAGTGGAATTGGAGACCATAGAAATTAATTTGGCACATCTTACTAAAGAGGCTAAAGTGTGTTCAATTTTATTCCTCTGGGAAAGATTTAAGTTTAATTTTCATAGCAACATTTTCTGTTACTATAATAAGCCATGTGTTTATACATGAAAGTACGTGTTTAGGAGTGTTTGATCTCTTTCATCTAGGTCTTTTTTAACTCAATCTGCTGAAATTGAAATGGAGTTAAATGTGTATGCTCCATGGGACAATTCATTTCCATTTGTGTTTTAATCCTGGAAGTGAATCAACCAGGATGAAGCCTTGCTGGCAATATCTGTTGCTCCTTCACCTTTTCATTCATAGAAATTATTTAAGATAGCACAGACTTAACTGCTCATTCTGCCAAACCAGAAGGGAAAAGATCAAATTGCAAAGACCATCTCAAACACAGGTTTGTTACTGACTTCTTTGTAGAGGTTAATTGATTTTTATTAATTTGATCGAGGAAATTTCCATTATGTTGCAATTTCAAAAGCTGAAAAAACTGTGTTTTGGTGGACCCAAGTTGCATAGTTAAAGTGAGCAGAATGACTGAATAGTTTCTGGAAAGCTCTTCAGAAAGGGAATATGCAATCCTTTAGGTTACAGCAATATGTTAACATTTTACCCTCTGCACAGGGTATTATTATTTCCTTGTTAATTCAAAAGTATCAGTAAACTTGGAGTTGTGACTCTGGGAATGTTATAATGCTGAATTGAACTAGAGAGGCATGAGATGGGCTTCCAACACAGCTGGATACAGTGTCTACCATTTGCTCTTTAAAACAGAAATTAATTTTCTTAATGTTAGATTTCTGGATGCATTTTCCTGATCAGGTAAATTATTTACAAGTGTTACATATAGAGACACATTCAGATGGCTTTCACCAAAGATTTTTAGTGGATAAACTAAATTTAAATGAATAAAATAAAGCTGGATAAAGTGAAACAAAATACCACAGCAACATTGCCAAAAATTAAAGAAAATATAAAGAAAAAAGGTTATTTTTTTCACATATAATATACAGAACTGTCAGTTCTGTAAGCTTTTTTTCCCCTGAGTGTTAGGATGCAATTTACATGCAGTTCTGGTGCCGATACAAAATCAGTTGATTCTAGTCAAAAGATAGAGAATGTTTTTTAAATGTTGGTTTATAGAAGTGTCTTGCAATTAAAGCTAAAAGAATTCCTAACACTATGCTCACCAGCAGTCATGGTATATCTTTAAGATAAAATAGAATATTTATTACTGTACTTTTTTAGACACTTTTTTTTTTCATTTTTAGAATTCATTGCTACAAATATATGTGAACTTGGAAAATTAGGTTTTTGGAAGGATTTAATCCCCTTCTAACATAAATTCAAATAAAGAAGTACTCTGTCATATTATGTAGTTGGCTTTACTGCCTGCTGGCTAGAGCACTTAGCTGGCAGGAGGGCAGCCAAATTCTCTTTTCACCTTCATTTTTACCCTACAGCTTTGTGGAGCAGGGAGATATTGATTAAATTCCACTTGAAGAGAGGGGGCTGGTGAAGCCCAGGTGTGTCCAGCTCCAGGTGCAGATGTAATGGGTGCCCTGGGATTACTCTCTTCTTCACTATCCTGATCCAGAAGGGATTTTCCTAGCTGTGTCCCTGCCATTTCCCTGTGCTCCTGGCAACTGTGTACCCACAAGGCTGCTGGGTTTGCCCAGATGCAGACCATTAGAAGGTGGGCTGTAAGCTTTGCTGGTCTCCAGGAGCTTGGATCTGCTGTGTGGCAATTTTGGCAGTGTGCTAAGGAGAGAGATTGCTGCATGTGTGGGGAATGCTTTTTTTTTTTGGTAAGGTGTTATTTAAACAGGCAAATTTTTGGAAACAGAAACAAATATTAAAATTGTTAAAATGATAAATACCAAATAAAAATAACTTGATAAAACATATAATAATGATACTTAAAAGAATTAGCAGAATATGGAGATTTACTGTTCAGTTAGATTGGGTAGGAAGTATATTCTATGTATGCATACACTGATCTTTTTTGCAAGTATAGAAATCTAGGTTATTAAAAACCCAGGGGGTTGGTTATAAACCACATCTAAACTAAATGAATGTCACATGCTTAGTTCATGCAGAAGTCTTGTAAAGTTGTTAATACCTTTGGACTAAAATCCTGATACTTCTTTCAAATCCATGGCAAAGCTTTCCATGTCTCAGGGTCAGGACTCACTCTACTGTACTTCTGAATTTCATTGCTCCTGATAAAATCCCTTACAATTCACAGTAAATTCCTGCTGATCCCTGCACAAAGCTGCCTCAGAAAGCAGAAGTGAATGGCAGCAGTGACCTACTGCTGCCTTTTTCTTCCCTCTGAAGCACCAGGAACTCTGAACCAGCCTTGTCTGCGGCAGATGTGGATTCAAGACATCCCTTCTGAGGTCTGTGTGTAGCTTACCCGGTCTTGCCTTTACCTCTGGAGGATTCCCTGCATGCTCAGTATATAAACACAAATTTGGTGACATGCTTGGAAAACAGTTTTAAGCTGCTAGGTAGAGTACAGCAATTTGGCCAGATGCAGACTGTAAGAGGGTTTGAATTGGTCAGTTTTTGAGGTGATGAGTGCTTCCTTAGTGACTTGACTTACTCAGGACAAAAGCAGCCTTTTAGCACAGTTCTGAATGAGCATTCTGCATTGTAAATTTGCTGACTTTCCAGGTTATGGCCAGGTAAAGCACAGTCAGTGAATATTAGTTTTCAAGTCTGAGCCGTTCTTCCTCATGCATGCAGTCTTAGTGTTGACAGAAGAGGTACAGGTGAAATACCAAGCACCAATTACTGCACTGGTTTTACTGTCACCACTAAAGCATTTATTTTCCAGGTTCTTCAGAAACTATTTGCCTTTGGGTTTTACAATCCTAATCCAGATCTTTATCAGAAAATAGCTGTCATCTTACAGTTAATTTATTTGTCAGAAGCTTCAAGGTTCATGCTGTTAAGTGCGTGATATATGAATAGTGTCCACATATTTTCAGGAACAAGCCTTACATGCTTCTGGATAGGCAGGAATGTGTTTGACTAAAATGTGAATGGAATTGCCTGAAAACATGGGGGGGTCTGATCCCAAAGAGGATCAAAGTGTGCTTTGCTTTCAGGGCACAAATGCGGGCTTCTCAACAGAGAAATGATCTGGTTTGTGGTGTGACTGGGGTGGGTCTGATCCCAAAGAGGATCAAAGTATGCTTTGCTTTCAGGGCACAAATGCGGGCTTCTCAGATTTGCTGTCTTAAGTGGATTCTTGATGAGTTAAATATATGTGGCTAATATTCTATTTTAGCCTCAGAACTATATCTCAATTCCTTTATTTGCCTTGGAGAAGTGCAGCAGTTCATCCCATCATGTGTATATATTTGTGTATATATGAGTGGGTTTGTATTGTGTATTTAAAAAAAACCCTCAAACAAAATCCATGTTAGTTGAGGGATGGAGGGAGTTAGAAAGGAAGAAGATTCTTAAATAAGCAAATTAATTTTATATGCCTATTCAAAGATGCTGGGTTTTTATTTAAATGTCCACCTTGGCCACTGATACTTCTATTTGTTTATTTATTTTGCAAGTGTCTTGCAACAGAAAAGAGATGAAGACAAGCTGCAAAGTAAAAAAATTTCTGAGATTATTAATGTTTAACATGTTTAGCAAAGTAACAAGTGTAGCTTTACATGTACATGTTGCATGTTACTGTTTATGTTGCTAATGGAAAAAAGGGAGAAGGTGCTGGAGCTCTCCCTTTAGAACTAGCGTGAGCTTGCATTAATATGCACCTTTATTTTCTGCACTGCTATTATTTTTCCAAAAGTCCTCATCTGTGAGCATGGTTAATTACCTTGAGTATGAATAGAGTACATCTGTGGTGTAGAAAATGACTTGTTCTGTTGTTTGATACCTGTGGTAACTATGGATTAAGATTACCTAATTAAATGTAACAATGATTCAGAGTCAAAAGATACTGTTTACTTAGTGAGTTCACATCAAGTATTTGAGTAGCTGAAGTCTGATGTGCATAATAACCTTCTTAATGATACTGCATAGGCATAATTTGGTCTTGTAAAAACCTGTTGAGAAGATCTTTATTTAACAGGAGGGTTAAAAGGATGAAACAGTATAAAAGTAAGGGGCAATATAGATGGCTATCCCTCTTACTGTGCTTCTCAAACAAAGGTGTCCCTAGTACGCAATGTATTGATTTTGCAGTGGTACACTTGCATTATATCTTAAACTGTTATTCAAAATCAATCTGTATTTCTCAGAAAATGCTTCGGTTGCTAACTCAGTTTCTGTTAAGAAAACCCCCAAAACAACTATCACTTTTAATAGGATATATCATTGCTTGTTGGTTCAAACAGCACTGAAAAAATCTCAGAAGTATGTTTAACACTACCATATGCCATCCATCAGATTTTTCTGCCATTGGAAAAACATACATGTTATTCTTTTTTTGGTGTTTTTGTTGTTGGATTTTTTTTTAACATTACAGGAGTTTGGAGATGATTATACTGATTTTAAAGCCAAAACACTGGATCTTGACAGATGTGTTGCCTCAGTTTTGTGTAGGATTTCATTACTGTTCTAGTTTAGAATCTGTGTTCAAAGCCAGTATCCATATACATTAAACTGTTTATTTATAATTAGGAAGATAGTTTTGTGCATTGCTTAAATTACAGCTTTAATTAAGCTACTTATGAATTGAATGCCTTGAAATACTGACATATGTATTGCAGGTGGGAATCAAACCATGTTCTATGATTCTGTTCTTGCTTTAGTGATGTTCTGACTGCAGGTTCCTTCCAGAAGTTAACCCATAGCTAAAAGCAGATATAAAATGCAATTCAAAGAAACAGGGAGATTTTCATACATCCTGTATTAATAGAATACAGGATTAATACAATTTGTCTGCATGAGGCACAGAGAATCCATGGATGGCAGGTGTGTCCAGGCTCTCCATCCAGTGTAGCACATTGTTGACCTGGGTAGCTGGAGCATGCATTATTCTTACACAAGAATATTGAAAACTTAAGATAGGAAAGAACTAATTAGAAACAGTTCTTCAAAATATTATTTAGGTGTTGTCATATGTCGAATAGAAGTGAGTGAAGTCATGTTATTAAGAAGGAGGTAAGTATGTAAATGTTCAAATGAGTGGTTGTCCTGAAAGGCACAAGGATGTGAAATCTCACGTTTCAATCAGCCTTGTTGAAGCCTCTAGTGGAGTATTGTGCTCAGTGCTTCAGGAAAAAGGATCTGTTGATAGTTAACCTGGGTAGCTGGAGCATGTTTCTGCTGGAGCATGCATTATTCTTACACAAGAATATTGAAAACTTAAGATAGGAAAGAACTAATTAGAAACAGTTCTTCAAAATATTATTTAGGTGTTGTCATATGTCGAATAGAAGTGAGTGAAGTCATGTTATTAAGAAGGAGGTAAGTATGTAAATGTTCAAATGAGTGGTTGTCCTGAAAGGCACAAGGATGTGAAATCTCACGTTTCAATCAGCCTTGTTGAAGCCTCTAGTGGAGTATTGTGCTCAGTGCTTCAGGAAAAAGGATCTGTTGATAGTCATTGAGGCTGAAGAAGAAGAGAGAGAACAGGCATAAATCTTCAAATACAATAGAGATTTCTGCATACAGGAATGAAATAGTCTATTCTGTACACCCAGAATATACTGAACTTAATTTAAAGTGTATAAGGTTCAAGTCTGATGACTGAGAAAACCACTTTATGCCAAGCATAATGAATTGCTAGAACAGATTGCTAGAGAAGGTGACAGGCTCTTCATTTCTGAAAAATCTTCCAGGGAGAGCTAGAAAAACCTCTTTTTCAAATTACGTAGGTATAGCAAACCTCTTCTTGGAGCAGGAACATGGACTAATTACTCTTGAAGTCACTTTTAGATGTATATTTCTATGACACTGTATTACACTCAAACTGCGCCAGAGTATTGCAAATTAGTTGTGGGTATAAGGCAGTAATAATGAATATTTAGCTACTAATTTTGAATAAATGAATTTTCCTTAGGTAGACACTTCTGGTATTGTTAGCAATTAAATGAGTGTCTTGCATTTTATGTTTACCCTGTTTCCTTCTAAACTTTTCTCACTGATTTCAAATCATACATACATTGTTACATCTACTCTTTCCAAAGTCTGATAACTTGTCTTAATTTTACACATACCAATGAGAGTGGAAGGCAACTTAAAGAAATCTCTTCTGCTTGCCACTTTTTTGGTAAGCTTTTACAGGAGTAGGCACTTTTTTTTTCTCTAGAAAACATTAGCTTACAAGTAAGATTTGGAATTTTCATGCGACTCAGGAGGAAGAGCCTAGTGACTTATGAGAGAGAATATATCTAAGGAAAAAAAAAGGGAGAAAACAAACAAGTGAGAAAATTACAGGATAGAATTAGTCCACTTAGGCGGTGGACTTGATCCTTGTGTCCCTTTCAACTCAGAATATTCTGTGATTCTGTAGTTTAGAAAGTATCCAGAGTGTGGGGTATGTGTCTAGATCTGGAAAGCCTGGTTGCATACTTTTTAGGATCTGAGCTAATCTGTAATTCTTTAGCATGCTAGAATTCATCTGTTTGGGACAATTTAAGAGCACATTTAGAAATATGTGGTTTGTTGGTAAGCACATGACACTTACCAACAGTATAGCTTGGTTCAGTGCCAATCTCTGCACTTCAGAAATATTTTGGATGAGATTTCATGTTGGGAGTATTACAGAAAGAGAACTCTGCTGCTTCCTCTGCTATTTGGGTTTTTTCTCTTTTTATTTTAATTTCAAGCTTTCAACCATCTTGGAAGCTTTCTAAAAAAAACCCTGTCTGAGGAGATAATTAGCCCAAATTGCAATATTTCATTGCAATTGTTTAGTGAAGAACTAGATAACTGCAAACGAACATGATGAACACATTAAAAAGGTATTGAACAATGCAAAAATAAAAGTGCATTTTCCTGCTGGTTCATAATACCTTAATTTATATTCTAATAAGTGGGGGGATGAGGAGGAGGTTATAATTAAATCATTAACGAAAATATGCTGGTGACTTTGGGAAAGATTAAATGTTCTAAAGAACTGAAGGAACAAGTACAGACATTTTGGTCCTACTTTTCATAGGAGTTCATAAAGAGTTTTATTGTTCTATGGGGACAAGACCTTCAAAGATACTTCTGGGGGACCTAGACATCCAAGTTATTTGGAAATTGTGCTCTGTCCCTTTCTCTTGTCCTGATCCTAAGCAAACATGCTTTCAGGCAGGAACACAGAGGATGGAAGCTCCTGTGAGAGCTTTAGGCACACATGAGTTAAATTACTGTGTAATACCGAGTCCAACATTGAAAACTGACATAGCTAATAGCATGCAAAGAGGGGGAAACTAAAACTTTCCACCAGCATTTGTTCATCAGTAAAAGAAAAGAAAAACTGATTAGATGTGGGGTTTTTGCCTTGCAGATTCTTAGAAAATCCAGAAAATACCTTAATTTCTCAGAAATACATGGAGAAGTTGAAATCTCTTGAGCAGTATGAAGATCAGACCTACAGTAAGTGGAATGTTCAGGTGGATTAAATTTCTCAGTTTAATTTAAACCAAACTAATTAAGTATAATCCCCCAAACCAACTCCTGATGGTGAATTTTCATCCTTAGGTGTGTGCTTAGAACTGTAATTAAATATGTAACTGATGTTTGTCTTTGATTTCATAGTCAAAAAATGACAGTAATCTTCTAGGGTATGAATGAATCTTAGAATCTTAAACCTCACATATTTTTATAGAATCATGCAATCACTCGGCTTGGAAAAGAGCCCCTAACATCATCAAATACAACCTTAAACCCAGCACTTCCAGGTCCACCACTAAACCAGGTCCCCAAGTGCCACATCTATGTGCCTTTTAAATATTCCAGGGATGGTGACTCTACCACTTCCCTGGACAGCATGTTCTGATGCTTGACAGCCCTTTCAGTGAAGAAATTTTTTCTTAATATCTAATCTAAACCTCCCTTGACTTTCATATCACAGGCAGCAGTAGCTTGAGACTGTTCAAATATGTTTTCAAAAGGTAGAATTTGATGGCTGTCAGGTAGTGCTGTCTTAAAGACACCCTCAGCCACCTTTATCTTTCTATATTCTGCCCCACACCACTCCCAGGTATAATTTTTGTGACTAGCAAGTGTAATTTTTCTGAATTTAAAAAAATCTGGTGAGAGGAATAGATGGGAAAACACTACAGCTGTAGTGTTTCCTACTGGCATTAAAAGAAGAACTTATTAAACCATTGTTTTAAGAGCAGCATCTGCATATGAGAAATGAGAAACTTTTATTTGGTCTTTTTTGGGATATGCACTGCCAGTCCACGGTGAAATTTCTATTTCTGTGCCTATATGGTCTAATATTTTTGGTGGGATTTTTTGATGTGTACCTTTTAGCTGATTTTCTAGTTACTGTGAAGTGATTCAGATTCAAACTTCCCTTTCTTGTACTTTTGATAGAGACAAAAACCACATGTCAAGGTATATTTTTATCTGCTGATTTTTTTTCATATGGTTTACTGAATGGTTTTTTGGGGGGAGATTTGTGGAATGAGAAAGCTACTTCCAGGTTATCTTTATATATTTGAAAGCGTGTATAGCAGGAGGAGTAGAACTCTGTTTTACTGTGTGGAAGATCCCCAACATAATTAAAATGAAGTTTTATGTGATTATACCTAAAATAACTGAGTTTATTAAGTTCAAATAGTTTGTAATTACCAGTGATGCATAAAATAAATTCTAAAACATTCTAGTAAAAGCTATGACATAGAGTAAAGTTTTGGTTAAATAATTCATCCACTGAAATTTCTTATTTATGAGTAGATGCAGGAATATTCTCACTGTTAATATACTGATCTTACTGGTGTATTCCTACCATGTGTGATTTTTTTTTGTTTAAAGAAGATGCTACTCTGTTAAATAGGAATTGCCCAGAGAATAGAGTGCCATTAAGAATAGAGCTCTGTCAGTATAGCACAACGTAATTCCTCTTCAGGCAGCTGACATTGCAGTTAATCAGAAGAAAATGCACTTTACTTGACGTATGTTGAATTCTGGGATCAGTCCTTTTTATCTCTGTTTTTCTTAATAAGAACGAGCATAATCAGTGACAAATGTCACTACCTGTTCTTCATGGGTAAGCAGATGGGATTCAGAGAAAGATTTAAAATGGGAGCTCCCTTTCTGTTTGATGTGGAAAATCCATATGTTCATCTCAATCAGGTGATTGAGTATTCTCAGAAAAAAACATATTTGCTTGTAATATTTCAGTAAAAAAGTGAATGAGATTTCAATGTACACATTAAAATATTTGTGAGTTGGAATGTTTGGTTTTTTGCTGGGCATTTTTTATTTGTTTGGGGTTTGTTTTTTTTTTTTTTTTGAGGGATTGTTTTGGAGGGTTTTTTGTTTTACTGGTGTTTTGGGAAGTTTGGTTTGTTGGTTTGGGGATTTTTTTTTTTTTTTCCAAGATGCTGGTATAATTCTAGTGCCACCAAATTCAGGTTTCTTGTTTCTCTTCCAGTGTTGCATATGCTTACAAAATTCTTTTTTTATATATTCTGAATGTTCCTTTACACAGCATAATGTGCTCTTGAGTAGAATAGCCTAAAGTAGACTATTAAGTAGCTCTTTTTTAAAACATCATGAGGGGACTTTGTTAACATTTATACAACTTTAAGTAGTGGTTTAATAAGTTAAAGAATGCAAGAATAAAAATTAACTTCTTTATATCCAGATTTTATTTTGTGGTTTCAATGCAGAGTCATTTGCATGATTTTGGGTGCTTTGAGAGGCAATGCAAATGCAGCTTTGTAGCCTCTTTGCCATAATTCTCTCAGCTTTTCTTATCTTGAATCATATATGCAGGATCTATAGATTTCACTGGCAGGTTAAGTAAGCTCAGTATACCCTACAACTGTACTTGGAGTGTTCCTTCCCTCTTCCAGCAAATCAAGAGCTTGAGATGCTGGAAAAAGAAATTTTTCTAATGCAGGAATCTATCTACAGAACTATTTGAAGTATCTATTCCAGGCTACAAGCACATGAAACAATGTTGAAAAGAAGTGCAATTGCTCAAGAAAGTGTGGGGTATTCATGTTTATATTAATGTAAGATTTTTCTTAAAATTACTTATAAATTATTTATTAGTTTAGACTATATTTTAATATTATATTTTTAATTTTATCCTAAAAGTGCTATAGTTTTGATAAAGAAATTTAATACTGAAGATTTTACTATTCCTTTTGTTTTTGAAACAACAGTTGCTATGTTTTAGGATATCCAGAGTAAAAATATCTCTGTTCCCAAGTCAACCAATTTCAAGATAATCCCAAAGCAAAACAAACTTTTTAGTTTCCTTTAGAGCTTGCTTAATACCCAGAACTTGCTTGATTAGTTTAAGTAACTGAATAGAAATTCAGAAATCCATAAAATCCAATTCAGAACTTAGAAATGTACATTAGAAAGCTCTACAAATCTAGGAGCAAGAGTCCAGAAAATCAGTGTACAGATCTGTATGGGGAATCAGTCTTGCAAAGTTCTGCTTCCCTCAAGATGCTGCCTTCCATAGGCAAGGTTAAAAACACATGTACTAGATTTTCTTTCTGTAATTTTGTTGGTAGCACCCCCAGGAGGAGTTGCAGGGCATCTTCCTGAAATCTCCCAGGAGCACTTGTGTGCTACCTGTGGGTATAGGTGTGTGTCTAATAGAACAAGAAAATTGTGCAGGTATGTTTTTATCAGATACTGAAACATGAAACTGTTAAAATGTGTGGTCTTTGAGTTGAATTTAGAGAAGATGGATTATTATGTGTGCTTGAAAAGTAATGGTGGTGTAGGAAAAAATTTAGGCCCGTGAACTCTTGCTGTAGGGTGGACTTTCCCCTGCATCCATTGATCTGGTTTGTGGCAGAAGTTTGTCTTCACCAAATGTTGTTGATGCTTTTATCTGTACTTTCTGTTTCAGAGCAGCATTGATGATTGGACTAAAACCCAGTGGAGAGAGATTAATGTGGAACAGATGGATGTGCAGCTCAGAAGGTTTGCCAAGGCAGGTCCCACAGCCATCTATCTCTGCAATTTATCTGTCTCAGTGCCACCCCTTCCTCACTCTTCCCACCCACTTGGATGTTTCAGTGGGTTTATTAGTCATGTCCAAGCTGAATGTTCTGGAACATGCTTTGTTTTGGGGGCTTTCCTTTAAAATTTTATTTTTCTGAATGGGTTTGCAGCCCCTGTGGAGTTATATGTAAAATCATGCTGTCACTTTGCTGAGTTGAGGCAGTATGGGAAATAAAAAAAGCGGGTGGGGGTTTATGGCAGACCCCTCAGACAACAATCACTTTTACAGGTGGAATTTGCAGAGGTTCATCTGAGCTGCTCATAAACACAGCTCCACAGGGTTGGGAGCTGCAGGGAAGGTACTAATTTTTAAAGGGAGGGCACTTCTTTCGCTTGAAGTATTTCAATGTTTTGTTGACAGTAGCCCTGCAGAAGAAAATTCCAATGGGACACGAGAAGTATGAAGTAAAAATAACAAAGACTCCCCAGACTATTTGTAGGATACTACAGCTGTGCCTCACAGACAGCACAGTGGTTGAATACAAAGTCTTGAACCTAACAGGTATAAAGTTTCTTCTTGTTTCATATTTGTTTAATTCAGAAATAAATTATCTTTATTGCATGCCCATTTATTAGTCTTTTAAGAGAAAAAAACAGATTTCATCATAGAGGTCTTCTCCTAAATTGCTTCAAAAGTGTGAACTCCACCTACCCAGTTCTGATACTTTTTTTTTTCCATTTAAAAAAAACCCAAAAACAGTGGTTTTGGTTCAGAGGCTATAACATGGAGAAGTTGTTGGTTTTCAAAATTTTAATAAAATTATTTTGAACAATTTTGAAAAAAAAATATTAAGACCAATTTCCATTTTTTTTCATTTTTAAAATTAAGAAATTGTGAAGCTGAAAGCGTACAAGAGAATGTAACAGAATCTTTCTGTTTTTCTTCAGTATACCAATGATTAACCACATACAGTTTTCACAAAAGTACATTTAACTTCTTTTTAATGCAAAAAGCTCCTAACAGTATTAGCACAAAATTGTGATTTTTTTAACAAAAAGAAAATGAAAAAATAATTGACTGTCATATTTTAAAATCATTGATAAAAAATTTTAAGGTTTTTTAATTGAATTTCATTAATCCTACCAAGCAGTGACAAAGTACTGCAAATATCTGCATCACTCCCCGAGGTTTGTAGTCTCAGATACTGAGTCTGTATCTTACATCAGGTTCAATGGCAGCTGTGCAAATAAACTTACCTTCAGTGTTATGAAGTACAGAACACCAGAGTACAAGACAAAACAGAGCAAAAAAACCCCAAACCTGTAACACCATCAAAAAATATTTTTGCTAAGATAGTTAAGTCCACACTTTGGTGGCAAATCTGAAAGTGTATCTGATAACTAGAGTGCATTTAACTTCTTTAATTGTGTTTTTTAGTTAGATTCCATTTGAACACTTTGTTATATGCTTATGTTGGACTTTTTAATTGACTTAATTTGCTCCATACTGTCTCTTTTCTTTTCAGGTCAGGCTTTCAGTAGCAGAAGATCTTCACAGACCTGCTGGGACTCCAGTTTCATAAAGGTAGAAGATGAAGTCCAAATTGTAGTTGTCAATGCTGTGCAAGAGTTGAGCACTGAAAAGGTGAGAGATGTACTTTTTATTTTCCTTATGTTTTTCCAGAATAGTATGTAGCAAACTATTTGTTTGTTTAGGTCTTGTTTCAAGAAATTAATCATAGAATTGAATATTTTCATGTGACTTACCTAGGTATCAAAATTCACAGCCTAGCAAAATGAACTTCTTGTCTGTGGTGTAGTTTACCATCACTGTGAATTACATAAAATTCAATTAAATTCCTCAGTTCCAAATATGAAATATATATATAGCCAGATGTTATTATAGCCAGATATATATAGCCAGATGTTATTATTGCTCTTATTCCCAGACTTTGGAAGAAATCATGGACTGCCATGGAATTTTCTTACCAAGAGCATAAAATAATAGAAATTCCTTTGTTAAAGTCCAATGAACAGCTGCTTGAAAGTTTAGGTAACAATTAAATAAGAATTTAATTATTAGAAATATTATTATTGTATCAATATTATTCATATACTTGATATACTTGGGAAGTTAAAACTTTTTGTTCCTTTTTATTGGAACAAAAAGTTTTTGTTAATTTTTTGTTTTGTTAATATTTTTGTTAATTTTTATTGCAGATTTATATTTTCTCCAGATGTTAGTACTGGGAATTTACATGTATGCTGTGCAACTATACATATGCTAAAAACATTCCTGCCTCCGTGTAGGAGTTAAAAAATAACAGCTTTCTAAGCTTGTAATTCCTTCAGTTTTTAAAAAATCCCTTATTAATATGCTGTCCATTTTCAGTGTTTAAAGATGTCTTCTCTTATGATATACAATAATAACAACTACAGGAGAATTTTTTAAGCTCTTGTTAGCTTCAGTTCCTCTGTTTGATAAATAATTTTTATTAGTGCAGTTTTTTATGGTTTTGTTTGTTTGTTTGTTTTTCTAGTTTCATATATGACTGATTCTGAAAAGTAAATATGTGGTATATTTCATTGAACAAGTGAAAGGCTGGCAAAGTAAATTAAACATGGCAGATTCTGTCATTTCCATTTGGATGGAATTTCAGTGCATGTGGTATCTTCATCAGAGTAATTATCTGCTTTGTTTTCCTCTCACACCGACTGTCAGTTGCTGGTGTCACAGTTTGAGACAAAGATCTGCAGGTCACTTCTTCACACATCTTTAATATCTTCTGTTGCTTACTCTTTTTTAGCTTTTTAACCTCCTGGAGGCACACAGAGATACAGTTCTGCTGAGGTGCAGAAATCTTTTCTGCAAAGTCCATATCATTTAGGGAAGTGATGGTTGAAATATAACTTCGAGGTCTGCTATTTATTAATGGCTAAAGGTAACTACAACAATCAACATAAACTCTTGAACTGACACAAAGCATTGTGCTTGAATTGTTCATTCTGACCAAAAGAAGTCACTGAACCCTTGCATAGTAAAGATGATAATTTCGTGTTGCCAATATACCTCTAATTCAATCCACAGATCTAGGGAAAGTCCTCATCATGTACAATTCTGAAAATCTAGTATAGGATAATGTTCTATAGGGAGCTTCCGTGCTTAAAATATCAAATATATTTCTAATTGTTTAAATCTGAAATTTAGAAACATTGACAGCAGCACGTTTCACTATATGCTAATAAAGTATCTTTTTTGTCCAAGTTGGGGTGTTTAACATGCTGAAGTTTCTTCATGGTGCTTATTGAAAAAGGCATTGAGCTTACATGAGAAGAAACACTCTGAGTTACTAATGCTGCTAAAATCTGTCATTTTTATCTTGTTGAAGAGTTTTAAGGTATCATCAGTGATATTTTCAGTTCTCTCTGTTCATTTTACTTTTCCTTCATATTCAGTTTAAACACTGTCAAAATAGGTGTTTGAGGCTTTAATTATTTTTCTTTTTCCATCTTTTTTTTTCCAACTTAAAACAAGCTGATTAGGTGTATTCTTCCAGTTCTTTTCCCCATGTTTTTCTTGTCCCAGTTTAGTAAACCATATGAAGTAGAAAAAATAAATTTGAGAGTTGAAATAACTCCTTTTCTTTCTGTACAGCTGATGGTGACTGACATAACAGATAAAGAAAATGTGATGGAAGCTACAAGGAAGCCAAAGGTGTAGGGAAGCTCTGAAGCTCTGCAGCAGAGGTAAAATTTCCAGTATGATTACAAACTGTTCTAAAGTGTAGTTCTGCAACAAGCAGGAAATGAGAGCTGTCAGATTGTTTCCTTTTTGTACAGGTGTGAGATGTTCCAATCATTTTTTTGTCATTTGTTCCTGTTTGACATATTGGATTTCTACTGCTTTTTACATGACCAGCTCAACTTGAGGCATAGGCTTGTTATTTAGGGATGACATGATGTCAGAATTGTCAAAGGTCTTAAAAGTTTGTATCAAATTCACTTTCTCTCTATTTATACTCTGGGAGTCTTTCTTTCACACCTGCAACAGGATGTGGTGGATTCGTGCAGCCAAAGTCCTCCTTCCACACACTTGGAGGAATGCCTTGAACTTGCCACCTGCATTCACTCTTCCTGGCTTTAGAAGCAACCATGTTTAAAGTCACAGTCTGTTTCTTCTGCAGGAAAATGTTGTAATAGGAAGTTTTTAAAAAAAAAACCAAAAACCACAAACCTGTTGCTTGAGATGTCACTTTTGTTCTGAGAGATACCAAGCTAATAGCTGGAGTGCATCAGTCAAACATAAATAAATATGGCTTATTTTTCCTTCCAGATAGGCATATAATTGAATATTTTTATTCTTAGTACTTTTTGTGTCAATACCAACGTGTGTTTTCATGTTTTTGACTCTTTGTACTTCAAAAATAATACATTTATCTTTTTAAAAAGTGGTTTCTTTGCTCTCCCACTCAAGTGATTCTTATCTACTTTTTCATTTGATGCTTTGGTGGTTTTCTTTTTAAATTTATCTGCACATTACTGCCCTGTTGAGTTAGATTTTTTTTTTCTTATCCTTTATTTGCTAAGGCTGGACTCTTTGGAAGGTTGAAGAGGAGTTTTCCCTGCCCAGACTTACCTTTTGGGGAGACTTTTCTGGCACAATTCCATTCCCCTGGTTTCTTTGGTCTGAATGAAATGTTTCCTTCCATTTTCTGGAAAGGAAACGTGAAAGGCTTGCCACCTTCTCTGTTCCTTACAGCTGTGTTCATCATTACTATTTTTAGTAATTTATAGTGGATTGTATTGTTCTGTTCTAATGTTTGGTCTGATTTTTTCCTTAACTGGGTGGGAATTCCTGGCTTTAAGGTGATTGTTAAAATCTCTGTCTCTTTTTCAGACTCTCTTTTTGTGAAAAAGCTTTGGCTGTATACTTAGAAAGCAAGAACATACTTTTTCCTTTCTTCTATTTTGGTTTTCAGCAGACTTGCTAGACATCCTTTAAAGAGGAACACAGCCAAAACAGCTGAGCCTCTTTGTGCATTAATGTACTTAATTTTCTCTACAGAAAGGGAAGTTTCCAGCCAACCTTGTGAGCTGATAATATCATTGAACTGCACCTTTGTTCTGAACAAATTTCTAATTTACTTTGAAAATAGGAACACTTTGCATAAGGAAGGTAGTAAACATTTTTTTTCTCTCAGCTGAGACAAGTACAAGGTGTTCAGCAAGAAGAGATGAGAGACATATTACAAATCCTGATCTGTCTTTGCTGGAAGTTTAGCCACATGGAAGTTGCCTTTATTTGGATTTTGGGGTTTGCAGGAACTAGAAAAGGAAAAGGTCAATGAGATCATCAAATCTATTCTTCTTCTAGCAGGGTTTGATCAAATTTCAGGCGAGCAATGCGTAGTGATGATAAGACTGGAAGATCTGTGGTGCCTGGTAGGCTGTTGCTGACTGTGCTGCTGCTCCTTGCACAAGGAATGTTTTGTAGCTATCCTTCCATGTTCCTCCCTTGAACAATGATCTCCTAGGTTTTGTGACACCCTTCTCTATAAAAACACAGGCACTTTGATGTATTTCAGAAGCTTCATACTGTGTTATCTACATGCCAGATGATACTCCTGGCCTCGGTTACTATCCAGCCACAGCCATCAATTCTCTGGGTGCTTTGAGTGTGCCTCAGGCAAAACCTTTTTTGAAGGGCTGTGAGTTGTAACTCAGAAGAACTGATGCTTTCAGAGGTGATGAAGGCTTGGACGTGGAGCTTTTTCAAACATGATGGTAGGCCCTTATAGATTATCCATGTAACTAAATCTCAATTATTTGTTTCATCCACATATAAGGCAAGAAAACAAGTCTTCTGGTTTAGGTGTCAGGCATAGAATGTGCTGGTGTGTAGACAGTGATTTTCAAATTCCATGGTCTTTGGAGAGGTGTGTAGAAAAAAGCATTTAGACCTTAATAAGGCAATTTGTAGAATAAGCATTAGCCATAAATAATAACAATTTCAAGACTTCTCTGTTTTATATTGAGCTTTGCCCTTCAGACTCTTCTGATAACTGACAGAAGTGCCAATTAACTCCATTCACGGATTTATCATTTTGGCCCAGCTTTTCCCCATAAAAACCTTGTAATAGTAATCACTATAAAAACCTTGTGTAGTAATCACACAACAGTCAGATAGTCATCCACTTTAACAGAGGCATGCATTAGTGTGATTGACACAAATCTACTGTAAATGGGTTCCTTATATATTTGGTATTTTTGGATGCAAATAGCCCATCATCTTACCAAACTTTCTGACAATGTTGCTGATCTTAAATTTCAAGAGAATACAGAGGAATAAATGTTGTAAATGTTGCCCTTGGGAAATATACAGCACAGAAAAGGAGCAAGTTCTGTTCCATGACACATGTAGATTTAATGATCAGATATGTTGAGTTATGTGAAATCTCCTTAATGAATTTTGCCCTCTTTGGGATGTAAATTAAATAGACACTTTCAATTGCATAAAATGTTACTTTTAGTTATACAAACTTGGAAAAAAAAATCATAAACCCAAAACACTTTGTTACCCTATACTGTGTAATTTACTATAATTTAAAAAATTGTCTATCTTTCTCTTTTACATAAAAGGTTTTTTAAAAGAAGGATAGACAGTTTACTGTTTGGAAGTAATGAAAATGAAAAAATGAGTACTAAAAGTCATAGAGCTGATCAAGACTATGGTTGAATATTGCATTTCTCATACTTTCTCTCTCCTGCTGCTCTTTTTACTTTGTCTTCTGTTATAGTTTCAGATCCCCTCCTGCCTTATCCTGTAGCACACACCTCCCCAAACCTCCAGTGCTCTCACACATCTCCTATCAGCTGAACCTTTCAGCTGGTTCTGAGCCTCATATTTGCCCAGTGGCCAGCCAGCAGTGTGCTAACTGGGTGGTGGTAGGTCAGGGAGAACAGATCAGCAACTTCTGAGACAATAACTTATTGTTCTCAGAACAGTGCTGAATGCATAAGCATTCACGTTGCATAAAATCAATGTTGCCTGTGGTTCTAATGATTGATTGTCACAGCAGGGAGGCCCCAGACTGAATGGACAAGTATATGCAGCTTGCTTCTTGGAGATAGTTTCTCCAAGATACAGCTATGTTTGAGCACATGGAGACAGAAAATACTGTATTGTCTGGGCCTGTACTGGGGCTGTGAACACAAAAAACTCCAGACTTTCTTATTTGGAGCTTTAAGACAGTATGTCTGTGTTCAAATCAAGTGGGTATGTAAAAAAAAACCCCAATATCTGGTGTCTCATCTGAATCCTGCTGAAGGTACAATGACAGAGAAAATGGATGGAAAATCCACTCTCATTTCAAGTTTGTGAAAAGTGCTGCAAAAAGTTTGCAAAAAGTAACAAAAATCCTTTGTGAAGATTAATGAGATGAACTTCCTTTATTTTTAGTACAAAATATACCATTACGCATAAATTTATGCGTGCTTGGGGTTTTTTTGCTTCAAAAGGTGGAGTCCTGGTTGCTACACTTTGAGGAAACTGTATACAATGCAGTACATCTCTGCTCCATGGAGGCACGAAGAGAGGCAGAGAGAACAGTGAGGTTTTGACCACTCAGCCCAGGCTGAGCTTAGTACTTCACAAACCTGATGGGTTTTAGATGTAGAAATGGCATTGGCAGGCTGAAAGAGAGCTTGACAACAGCCTTGAAGGATTGCCACAAGAAGCAATTTTTGTTTAATTCACAGAAAGTAAATACAGCATGAAAATAACCATATTGGTATAGTTTACATATTAAATGTTAAACATATGAACATATTACTGTAACATATTAAATAATACAGCACCTACTGAAAAAAGAAGCATGGCTTTTTCTTCAATTTCTGCTACCTCATGGGCATTTTTATCACATCTTAATTACTGGGGTATTGTAGGATTTTTCTGAACTGAGACAAAAGCTAAAAGTGAACATTCTGCCACAGTGGTGTGATAAGAACAAAGTACACATTCAGTCTGTATACGTACAATCCAATACATATATACCCGTATATTTGTGTAAGGAAGCCAAAACTAATTTATTTGTTTATATCAAACCAAGCAGTTTACGTCCATGTTTAGTTTTAGTCCCATATCAGAAGAATACATTGTGCATTTAATTTTTTGCTTTACCCTTTTTTGTCTCAAACTTCTCCTGAATGTTTTTCTCCTGCTGTGAGTACTCTTTCTCTTCGTGAAAACTTTCAGTAGTTTTGGTTTTGTTTTTCAACGTAGAATATCTGCTGAAGGGAAATACAAAATAGGAAAGAGACTTTAAAGGGGTCATGAATATCTGACAGAACTGTCTAAATTTTCTCTGTAATTGAAAATGCATTATATCTTTCTATTGATATTTCCATGTATTTTTACATTTGCCTCCTTAGAATTACATGCAGTAGCTGACATTGGGGTTTTCCCCCTTATTAATATGAAACTGGAATAATTCCATAGTCACTTTGTATTACATAACTCTGTAGTCATTTATATCATATTTTGTATTCATCCCCTTATTGCTTTGTCTATTTTTAAAATGTCTCTGATCTTTCCTAAGGACTATTTTTAGTTTGCCAATAAATGTTCTTGTACAATTAGTACAATTTTATAAAGTCTGGTACATATCACTATGGAGATTATAACCACAGAATTTTCAATTCTATTTCATGTACATCATCTCATCCATCCGTTCCTCCTACCGTGCCTAGCTGACCATCTGCAGCATTTGTGCTCACCTGGATTGTTGCTGTTTTGGAGATGGTTCAAATTTCTGTTTAAACCAGGATTTCTTCTGGCATCTCATGCTGAATATCAGAAAATTTGTATGTATAAGCCAGTTTTTATGGTGAATTAGTTCATGATGTAGGCAGAACTAATTTCTAGCAGTAATGATGGTAGATGGTGCTGGAAGCCATCTGTTTTAGAGGGTTACCTAAATCTTTTCAGGTCACTGAGCTAAATGCTCTTTATTACCATGCTGCTTGGAGAACTTTCCTCAGGTGATCATGAAAAAATCATGGCCATTTGCACCAAAGCTGTTCATGGCAGAGAGATATCAGCAAGCCTTCAAGCCCAGAGGGTGCATGTTTGAATCAGCTATATTTTGCATTCAGAGTTTGTTCTGCCTTCAGTAATTCACAGTGTGTTTTGCTCTCCTTTCAGAGGCATGTGCATCTCCAGAGCATCTCCTCTTCCTGTGGTGGCTTTTTAAAGGTGCAGACAACTGAAATTTCAAATGTTTATTTAAACCAAAGTTCTCACTCATACATAAACTTTAGCTCAGGTAAAAGTAATGCTGTTGGTCTGAATGCACAAAATGTTTCACTGGATTGGAATTGAAATAGGAAAGAATTCTTATTTTCCCCCTAAGCCTCAGAAATAAAATGGGCTTTTAAGGTGGCATTCAGATAAGAGGAAACAAGGCTTGAGGAGTAAAATGAAACTCATTGTGGTCAAAGTAATGTCAGCTCCCTTGCAAAGACTGCATTGTTCGTGTGGAGAGCCCTTGTGTTCTGCTGTAATAGCTCTGTTAAAATTATCTTCTATTACACTTGCATCTGTATAAAGGCACAAATGCCTCAAGGTGCATCTAATCCTTTATAATAGATTGTAGTAGTTATTAGTCATAAGTGGCAGGAATGAGGGGTGAGGCCTGCTGGTGACAGCTGCAGCTTTCTGATGGGTGGCACTTGTACCGTCTGAATAGCTCCTACCCGGCATCTTGACTCTTTGATGGCTCTTAGGTCTCCAGTTCCAGAGCTTTTCTTGCTGTCACAGGTACGCCACAGATGGAATGATGTCCAGAAACAGTTTTGCCAACATTTGCCATGCTCAGTTTCAGTACTTTTATGAGTAATTGGGAAATACCCCTTGGCAAGTTATTACATCTTTGATTGACAGGTAATGACTGCTATAAATAACAGTGCCTGCTTTATCTGTTTCAGAAATGAAAAGTTAAATGTTTCTTAGAAGTTCAGAGTTCTTTTCTACCTCATAGGTATATTATAAGGTTATCAAGACACAATATATTTCAGAATCTATGTGCATGTAGGTGCACATACATAATAAATGGTATGATTTCAATGATCTCTACATTTATAAAAACTGAAATATTTTTTACATAATTTAAGCTATATATTCATTGTCTAGTCTGAAGGGGAATATGATCAGATCTTTGCCACGGTTAACAAGGAATTCTCACAAAGTTTTTTTTTAATTTGTGAAAGTCCAAACCATTGGGTTCTGTTTTTTTTTTTCATACCACATACAGTGAACCTTTTTCTTCTGGGCATGTTTTGGCTCCAATATGGAATTTCTTGTTAAAATAAGTGATCAAAAGAGATACACTCAGGCATCCTGGCTAGCTTAATGCTTTCAGCCCTCAGCTGGGAGGCCAAATTCTGATATTCAAGTCTTTGAAATAACCAAAGCAGCAACTGCAGCCTCCTGTTTCCTGTCCTGTGTGATCACTGATAGGATCTTCCTTCTTAATTAAAAATATTGATGTAGTTAGTTTTCTTTTCTTTCAAAGTAGTACCACACCATGATTTTACATGAATATAGAAGAGATACATTTGTGGTTTAGGACATTAAATTATAATGAGAAAGTAGACTTGGAATAAATCATCCATGAAATATAAGGGTTATAAAAAAAGCTCCTGATATTGTAGAAGTTCATTGCAATCCAAAAAATCCCTTTTCATATGTCAAGGTGTTCTATTACTCCAACCCAGGCTGTCCACCTAGCAGTGAGTGGTGCTCCTGCAGGACCAGGTGGCAGAGAGAAGACAGAGACCATGGAAGATTTAGGCTGTGCCCTTAGTATGACAGTGAAAATTTTTGACTATACAGAATACATGGATTAAAAGGTGAAATATTGTTAAGCAGTATGGAGATTGTTGTTTAGCTTCTTTTTCATGTGAATTACACACTGGAAACTGCTGCTTTCAAGAAAAATATGTTAAATGTTTTAATTTTAGTCTGTAGGGAATATCTCTAAATGTTTGGTCCAGACAGGAGCTTTGAGGAATTCAATCATCTCTTGGTAGAACTGCTTTCAAGAAAAATATGTTAAATATTTTAATTTTTGGTCTGTAGGGAATATCTCTAAGTGTTTGGTCCAGACAGGAGCTTTGAGGAATTCAATCATCTCTTGGTAGAAGTCCAGTCAGTAGTGGCAGTACAATTAAAGCCTATCCACGATAAAATTAGGAAGAAAAAGAAGTGAGTGTGCTTTGTACTTTGCTGGCTATAAATTCTGAACCAGTAATATCTTCCTCTGAAACTTTTTGTAAATGAAAGACTAGATGGTAACACAAAATCATCTGTGTAATGTACTACCCAAAAATAATTTTCTCTTCTCTTCAAACTGTAGGAATAAATGTGAGTAAACCCTGGTCCTACCAGATTACAGTTAAAGTTTTGCTATTGAAACTGGTTCAAGTCCTACCATGTGAGGTCAGGACACCCTATGGGTGAGAAGTTTGGAGGGATTCAACTTTGCAAGAAACTTCCATGGTTCCAGGATTTTCCAGTGCTTTTGAGACATGCCTTGTTTTTCCACTGTCCTATGTTCCCCTTTCTCCATTTTGGTTTTTTTTTTTTTTTTACTCAATATTATCTCCTGGCCTTTTCAAACCCTCTGCATCCCTAGTAGTCTCCTTTATTCTGTTTCAAAAGGTGATCCTTCCTATAGACATGCTTCAGCCACATGCACTGTCTGTGGCTCTCAGTGTTTTCCTTCTGAATTTAATGCCAGACAGATTACTAAAAGCTGAAATACCTCTGCTTGCTAAGGTCTAGTAAGTTTTCTTTTTTTGTAAGTAGTATCTTTCTTTTAACACTTCTTTGTGTTATCTTTTTTTAACAGATTTGTATTTCTTGGTGAAAACATTACACTGAAATCCAGAGCTGAATATTTATTACTATGATCCCTGCATGTGCAGGTCAGACAGAACTACATGAGAACCTCTGGTTCCCCATTCATACTCAAATATGACAAAATTAAAACTGGTCATTTATTTCAGCAGTATGTTTCTGGATGGAGAAAAAGAAGAAATATTGGTGGTTTTTTAGTAGTAAGAGCTCTAAGGGACAGATTTGCTGGTTTGTAACTGGCTTGAACACAAAAGTCAAGATCTCATTTTTTGCTTGTATGTAACTTAAGTAATGATTTTTAATGAGGAAATTGTGAAAATGTTTAGCAATAACATTAGTATTTCATGTTCTTTTAAAAATGAGATTTAATGAGATTTTTTCATTTGTGTCATTACAATTTCTGGGTTTTTGTTCTAAAAGTTTGAGCAGTTATATTTAGAAAAGAAACAGTAAAACCTCTAAAGGCAACCAAGCCTTCATATAAAAGCACTAAAGCTCTCAAAAAAATTGAAGAGCTTTAAAAAAGAGTGGCATTTTTAGCAATGGTTGTGTTGCACTTGGCTTCCAGGCCCTGTACAGCTGCTGGCTGTGCCCCCAGTGATCAGTGGCAAGTGCCACCACTGCAGCCTGTGCCTGCTCTGAATTTGGGCAGTACCTGCCTGTGTTTCTCAGATGCCTCTTTTGTGCAGCAATGTTATGGAATATTAACAATCACCAGTGCCTAATTAGCTCATTTTGCTTTGAACTAGGGTCCTTGTCAGCTTTGATTGACACACTTAATTGTGACTCTCTTGAGCTCTGTTTTTTAAAATGTTTGCCCACATCAGACATTTGATTTAGCTGACTTATTCTTACCATGTTTAAATACTAATCTGTGTATCTGGATAATGGGTTTTTTTCCTTCCCTAGAACCTGTGCCATGGTTGTCCCTGACATTGAACTGGTCTCTGTAATAATGTTGGCTGCTAAAGTGTTCATTGGTGCCTGTTTGTTAGCCAGGAGGTTCATCACCTTCTAACCTCTCTGCAGGGAGCTGCTCCCTGAACAGGTGAGGGTTCTTTGGGCTTCTGGATTTAATTCATACCCATTAGCACACACTCCATGCCAGTGCAGCTGAATACTGCATAATAGGAGGGATTTATGCATGTTATCTTATCTTGTATTTTAAAGACACTTTGAATCACATGACCATCCTTAATAAATCGTCAGACATTAATTTGAAAAAAAAAGTGTTCTTTCTTCTTACCTTTGGATGTTTGTAATGTGTTTGTTTTGCATTAAACAATTATATATCACCACTTCATACCTGGGATGACTGCTACATTGTGATGCTGTGTAACACCCATGTAAATAACCATCTTTTGGAGAAGAGAGTAACAGAGTATAAATTATTTTGAAAAGCACACAGCGTATTGTAATTGAATGAACGTGTCTTGAAACTTTCCCCAGTAAAAGCAGCGACAACTGTTTGAAAAAAAGGGGGGAGAAAAACATTTCTAAATAATTTAATTATTATACTAGAAAGAGTCCATATTCAGAAATAATATCTTAAAAATGCAAACCTAGAAATTGTATGATCTCTTCCCTGTATGTATGCTGGTTTAATAATCTCCAGCTGTATAATTTTTTGCAAGATATCCCTAATATTTATTTTTATCAATGGAATTAGAACTTGAAGAATCCTTCAACCTTAAGCCATAAACTCAAATAGCAGGCAGGGCCTTTATGAAATAAAAAACAACTTTATTTTCATGCCTGCATAATTTCAAATTTATGTCTAAATATCCTGAAGATTTTCTGACACATTCTTGCCATTTTCTAGAGATAATGAAATTAAACCATGCTTATCTAAAGATAATTAATATTGTTTGCTACACTAGAACAAGGATTCCTTGAGTCTAATGATTGCTTTGTCATGGAGGCACATTGTGAATTGAGAAAAGTGATTTATACTGTTGTTTGCCACTTCAGTATTAATCATAGTTGCAATAATAATATTACCATTAATGTTTGAAGCAAAATCTAGAATGCTCTTTTTTGTTTACTTCTTAACTCTCATTTGGTTTACTTTTAATGGAAATGGGAGAAATCAAATTCCTCTGAGAAAAAATTCTGGGCTTCTGCACAAAATATACAGCAGTTCAGAGAGTTCCAAGAGTATTGCTCCAGTGTTGGGACTTTTAGAACTTTAAATATACCTTTGGGATTCTAGCCTATGGAAACTGCTGCAGAACAGGGTTATCAGTCAGGGCTTTCAGTGCATATGTTGTGAAGGGACTTCTAGTCCTGCCATGCCATGGCAAAGGAAGTCCTTGTACACTGAACAAACCACACACCAGGCTGCTTTAAAGATGCATATCCTGCAAACAAACAAACAAAAAAAAAGCCCCCAAAAAACAAAACAACAACAAAAACCACCTAAAGACACAAAAAACCCCCTTGCCTAAATCTAACAAAGTCTTATTAAATTTAGTCTACTCCTAAACTTCCTAGTTTCATTATTGATTCTGTTTTAACTTCTTTACCCACATGTACCATTTCTGAAATGTGGAGACTCCTTTTCAATGCAGATAATAGATAAATAATAATTTACCTCAGAAATCTTTTCCTTGCTGATCATGAACTCTCCTGAGTTTGGAAATTACTTTTTTTAACTCTTTTTTGTGCTGTATTTAGTACATTTGATTCACACTTAGAGTTACCACTGTCGTGGAAGAGGATAGAGGCATGGCATCTGTCAACTTCAAAGGTGTATTTTTAAGTTGTGAATTTACTTCCAGTTTTGTTGTTGTTTTGGGATTGGGTTTTTTTGGTTTGGTTTTTTTGGGGGGTTTTTTTGGGTGTTTTTTTTGTTTTGTTTTTGTTTTGGGGGGTTTTTTTTGGGGGGTGGAATAGACAAAACAATTCCTTTTTATTTATATTGAATTCCTAGATATGGCTGCAGAATATGTTCCCAAACTTTACTCAGCTTATAGTCAGTTAAGAATAGGGAACCAAATGGTGGAATACTAAAAATTAAATAGATACATTTCAGCCTTTTCTATTTTTTAGCCAACCTCTAATACTGACCAAAAGCCACTGTAAGACTGCAAGTGAATAAAAATGTCTTGGTTTACTCTGTGTGTAAAATGATTGTTTTCTTCATGAACATTACCACTTAGTTTTATTGCATGTGCTAATATGACTAGTTATGATGTCTTTGTAGGGCTGTTATGACTGGGGTCTTCATACTATCAAGTCAGTTTTGGTAATTTCTGGGTCCCTGAAACAAGGAGACAAGAGCAGACCTGAGGACTGGGTAAAATATGTTTCTGGTGTCTTGCCTTTGAATAAAAACAGACTCCTAAAAAAATTATTTAATGTTCTTGTAGTACATTGTTTACCCTCCTTTTCCATGTGCTTATGTGAGTCTTAAGAGACTTCAATTTGCATAAAATAGTGACAGATGATATCCCAATTTTCACAGGCATGATCAGTGACCTGTTTCCATCTCTGGATGTTCTGAGGATGGGGAACCTCCCGTATGAGCAGATGGTTAAACAATCTACCCTGGAGCTGTACTTGCAGCCAGAAGAGAACTTTATTCTCAAAGTAAATGAATTCATTGTCTCTAATTAGTCCCCTTAAGATTTTTTATCAAGATAATTGCCAATGGGTTGTTTGTATTAGACATGAAGATTATTTTTGAGTGTGTTAAAGCATTGACAAAGTGTCTCTCAAGGACTCGGTATTTCAAAAGCATTTCATCACAGCACTAATGTTCCTCAGTATGATAAACATGTCCATAAGGAAATGTGTATCCTATTTGGAGAAGTGCACAGTGATAATCTTGAGTGACAACAACGTTTGTTTGTGCACGGTAAGAAGAATTTGCATTTTGTAACAAATTCATTGTTGGTCAGATATTTATAGTGAGGAAAGAAGAGTAAGGGAACAAAACCATATAAATAAGAAGGTGTGGATTTGGAATGTGCATGGCTACATGTGACTTTGGTGTACTCTGGCTTTTATGATTAGGATAATGCATGTTATTCTGTACACATGAAATGCATGCAGGTACATGTATATATGCATGTATACTCACAAGAATTAGTTGCCCACAACCTAAATTTAAGCCCTAATTTATTTTAATTACAGACAGAGTGAAAAAGTGAAACATAGAAACACTGGTTAGTGTACAGACCAAATAAAAAGTGTATTTATTCCCACCTTCCTTCAAGGAACATCCACATCTGCTGTATGTGGCAGCAGATCTTTACCTTTATTGGAGTATATTGGAAATAACCAGGCTGGTTGAATGTGACTGATCAGAAGACTTATAAAGGATTTTGTGCTCTTCTCTCTTGTTCCATTTTCCTGACAGAGGGGTGAAAACCAGTAAGGTATGCCTTGAGGTATTATGAACTTCACAATCAGCCTTCTACAGAGTATTTTGTTTCCTGCTAACTGGGTAAATCAGAAGACAAGCGCTGAGGATCATGAACTTGTTCCTGTTAGGCTTTGGAAAATCAGAGTGAATACTGATCTTCACTAAAACAGCAATCCACAAGCAGACAAGCTATTTCTAATCTGTGACTCATACAACTATTTCTTTGGAAGCAGTATTACTTTAGGAGACTGACTTTGTATTTTTTTGAATTCCAGCTGTACAACTGATTGCAGAATCCACTTTGCTAAAGCAGTGGCAGAATTGTGATAACTGTTCTGTATCCTTGGGTTTTCACAGTCCTGCAGGACTGTGTGGCTGTCTGTCAGAATAGGATTTGTTCTCACTTGCTGAGGTAATTGCTTTAATTCTTTTGCACTAACTCTTTTATCATTTTCTGAGAGAGCGTGTTGCTTGATGCAACATTAGCTTTGCTGAGGCAATTCTGCCAAGAAACTGCAAGCTTACTTTTTACTATTAAAGGGAATAAGAATGAGGAGGAGAAAAAAAATCTTGTGAACAACTGTCTCTGTGATAAGAGCTATAACAGGAGAGGGGAGGTGCTCACTGTGTGTCCCTTCTGCGTGGGAGGATGTCAGCTGGAGGAGCAGCCGGCAGTGTGTCACTCTGTGTTTGTCGGTGGAATTGCAGGGAATGGAGAGGGTAAGGTGCCTTCCTTGATGTGCAGCATGTTTTCCATCTCACCTTGTAAAGAAACTGCCACTGCTCTTGCATTACAAATTCTTCATGTTGCCTTTGCCTGAGGCTGCAGGGTGATAACACAATGCTGAGGCCACTCGGTCAGCCACATGATGAGCAGTGGAAAGCTCAAACATTGCAACCTAATTCTACATTTTATGTGTTCTTTGCATGTCCCAAAGGACAGTTATTCATGGCATGAAGTAATGAACATTCAATTTGACAGATTAGACTAAGTAATACTTTGTTCTGGAAGGAGAAGCAGGATGTTTTAATTAGACTTCTAGAAAGACATCATGGAGTGTCCTGCCAAAACATTAGACAAATAATTCTAATACATAATGCTTGCTTATTTATGCTACTAAATGCTGGCAGCTGCATAGATTTTCTTCTCCATTTAACATTTTCTATTAGAATTGAGTGCAGAATATGAATATTTCAGACTGGGAATCTCCTTTCCTATCCTTAGGCTTAATGGAAATTTGGGGCTAAACTAGCACAAAGACAAGAATAAATTAATGTAAACTGTTGGCTGAGTACAGGGATTCAGTCCAAGATCCAGTTCAGGAAAAAGTGAAAAACTCCTACTATATGAAAATGGTGTCACTAACATTCACCCTGCTCCTTTTCTTCAGGTTCTGCAAGTTCTTCATCACATGTATATGAACACAAAAGAAATGCCCATTTGGAATTAATTTAGTGCAGAAGTTCTGACAGCTGATGAACTGTGTGGTTTTGTACACCAGGAAACCTGAGAATGGAAAGATGGCAAGAAACACATGTGTTCTTGCTAGGATGTCATTCTCCATCCAAAATGGACAATACCAGAATTCAGAGAACATGTAAGAGATAGAATTCTTTAATTTTTCTGAGGTTTTGATGCAACTGGACATGGGTGCAGAGCACTGGTGGTTTGGAAAGGCTGGAGGGCAGGGCAGGATGCTAGTAGACAGAAAGTATTAGCCTGCACAATTTTGATCCAGCTGTCTTGAAGGGCCTCTTATTTTCTCCTCAGACCCATGGTACCTCCCTTATATCTCCCATATCATGAAGACTAATGACCAACTCTCCTGTAATCAAAAAAATAAGTCACAATTACATAAAATGCAGTCATTTTGCTGTATTGAGTGTTCACTGATTTTTTTTGTTATTTTAAATAACCACCTAATAAACACACAAAGGAGGAGAACTTGGGTTTGATGTTACAAAAGCTTCTTGTTTCAGTGATGTGTCGTCTTCTGAAGTTTTAATTGCAATACAATGTTGTTGTTTAAGCACTTAAGTGATAAGATTCTATTGAAATACAATTTGCAGTTCTGCTGTCATATTCTCTGAGAGGACAAGCCAATTATTACCCATGAGGGGCCAAAAAGGTTTATTCTAAATAGGGATATAAATCCTATATAGACCAAGTGCCTCAACACTGTTATGGATGCTAACAAGGTGAGCCTTTGAGAACACAATTACAGTGGCTTTCCCTTTATCTGTTTTCCCATTTCTTCTTCCTCTATTTTTCTGAAGACAGTTTTGCACTGTGCATTCCTTTTTCTTTTATTCTTATAATTTCTTTGGTTTTCGCTATTGCTAAGTATATTTAATACCTAATTAACACTTTATGTCTTGCCCATTTGGCACAGAAAAGAGCCTTAAATTAGTCTATGAATGCTGTAATGCTGATTGTGCCTCCTAGATGTGAGCTGGTGTAACTCGAGATATCAATGATGAGATTATTAAAACTGGTATTTAGAAAGTCTCTCAATAAAATAGACTTAAGATTGCAGTATTGAAATCCTTGCATCACGGTATTATGGTGATGCCTTTTAGCTTTTATATTTTTCAGATTCTATGCTGCTTTAGTGTATGGTTCTGAGCTTCATATTGAAGGATGGTGAGCTCTCTTCACAGAGTAGCTAGACAAAACAATTCCTTTTCTAGCTTGGGACCAAGGACATTCAATACAAATTTCAGGCCCAAAAGCATAAATAGTAGTGGAAAGAAGAGAGAAAAACAAGGATGGGACTTCATAACCTAAAGCTGTAATTGGACAAGTAACTCCAGTGTGCAAATGTACCAAAACTTATAGAAGTGTGACACTTTGTGACCGGTTATCCATTTTGTGACCATTTTGGGTCCATCTTGGGTGTAGCCCTGGCTGGGCTCTTGTACTGCCCAAGGTGTGTCCATTGAGGCCTTTTAATAAATACCCACTTTATTCTTTAACTCTGTCTAGTCTCTGTTTTAGGTCAGCCTTCACAAAGCATCAATGGAAGGTTAGTGTAGGAAATCTAAATCAGTCAGTCTAAGCACAGTAGGATACAGACTTCTTTCCTTCTTATCAATTATACAGCTAAACCACTTTTGTGGGCTCTCTGAAATGCTGAAATGTAATGAAATCCAAATCTAAGATCTGAATGTAACCTTTGGAAAGTGATTGGAGTTTTATGCTTTCCTGTCATAGAAACTTAAACCCTAGTAATACTCTGGTTATTAAGCAAGGTGGGGCGAGCCGTATAATCTAACTTTATCTGAGAAACAGGAAGTGGCTTTTTCAAGAAACATTTTGGAGCACCTAAATTTAGACTCCTGCTCTGAATCGTCTTCTGATTATTTCCATTGACCTTGAGAGCTTTTTCCCTCCTCTGCTTTTATCTGCCTTCTGGAGAACTCACATCAGCAAAGCAGGCTAGTCACCTTTTAAATTAATTAAACTCTAACAAACTCATACAAGGTCAAGAAAAACCTTTCGAATTTGTCACCCACTGTGATTCTGGTAAAGAAATCTAAGGCATGTTCAAACAGAATTTGTTTAACTTGTTCAAGGAATAGAGTACGCATTGTATTGCAGATAATCCTCTGTGGGGTTGTAATAAACATGACTGCCTTGATCACGTTCTTGTTAAACAGCATATCTTAACTTTCTTTAGCTGAAAAGGTTACTGATGGTTTCCAGGTTGTGACCTGACAGAGTCGTAGGCACCCATTCATTGCTTGTAAATGTGGCTGCTCTTTGAGGTACAAGCTTAAGAGCTGCTGCCCCAGCTATAATATCCAGAGCTAGTGTTCATCACCTGAAACCCCAGCATCTGGAGTAGAACCTGTGAATATCTGAGGATATTAGTTGGCATTTTTAACATCCAGTTTGAACATCAATTGTAACAAACTCCATTATTTATACTAAGTCTTCCTTCTAATTTTTATTCTGTTAATTTATTATTTATTTGGTGGTCACATATATCCTCAAGGAGGCAATTCAGAGAATTTTGTCATCAGTTAAGTGGTGTTTTTTCCTCTCTTGTGTGTACTGCTTAATCTGAGCAGTAATGTGGAGGGCTGACCCTGGTTGAATGCCAGAAGCCCACTAAGCCACTATTACTCCCCCTCATCATCTGGACAGTGAAGAGGAAAATATGATGAAAAGATTCTTGGGTCAGGATAAGGACAGGGAAATCAAATACTCAGCACACTGTCATAGGCACAACAGACTCAACTCAGGGAAATTAGTTTTATTTATTACCAATCAAATCAGAGTAAAGTAGTCGTAAAAAAACACCCAAAATCTTAAAAATACCTTCCTTCCAATCCTCCCTCCTTCCCAGTTCAACTTCATTCCCATTTTTCTCTCCCTCTTCACCCCATTAGCACAGGGTTGCAGTCAGTTTGTTCTTTTCTCTGCTCCTCTTTCCCTCTCAAGGGAAATGCTCCTCACACTCTTCCCCTGCTCCATCACAGGGTCCCTCCCATGGCAGACAGGCCTCCATGAGCTTCTCCAGCTTGAGTCCTTCCCTTGGGCTGCAGTTCTTCATAAACTGCTCTAGTGTGGTTCCCCCATGGGGTTACAAGTGGTGCCAGCAAACCTGCTCCAGCGTGGGCTCCTCTCTGTGCATGTTCACAGGTCCTCCCAGAAACCTGCCCTAGCACAGGCTTCCAGCACAGGACTCCAGCCTTTTTGTGCATCTACCAGCTTCTCTGTGGGGTACCTTTTATCCATAGTCAGAGAAATTCAGGCTCCAAGGCCATTTAAATCATTGAAAATAATGCCCACAGCAGCCGTGCACCACAAATGGAAGCCTTAACATTTTCCTATGGCCACGTTTATGCACAGATAATTTTTTGCCAGCTAAATTAGCTTCACACAAACAAAGTGTATGAGATCTAGAGGAAGAAAATCACTTCATCACTCTTCTACTAGGCTTTTGAACAATTTATAAAGTTAGAGTTGCATTTGTGGAAGACAAATTGTAGAAGGTATGATAGTATGATATATACTGTCAGTGGAGGATAGAAAGCATGAACTGTTATTTGTAATCACCTCAGTTTGAAGGTATGGTTATTTTGGTTATTTTTTTCCCTTTTTTTCAGTGTGTTCTGCATAGGATATTCGCAAGTGATTCATGGTGTTTTGGTTGCATTAACTTGTATTGTACAACTTTTTAATGCTTAGACAAGTAGAAATTTTCCTGGGGAGATTAGAAGTCTATGGATGTAGAAACATGGATCTGATGATCAAAATATATAATCCGTTATCAACTCTCCCGTTGTCTTTGAGGGTTAATATTTTATAGGAAAATACAGAGCTTGGAAAATAAATATTTACCAGACAATTGAACATGGAAAAGAAAGATTTATCAGACAAGGAAGCTTTTAGGTGCTCATGGTAAGTAAAGCTGTTTATTGCCAACTCTGTCCAAATGGATTTAGGTAAGTTGAAAGCCAGGCCAAAAAGTAATTTAAATTATTCAGAAATTAAACCACCTACATCTTTCACCAGTCTTTGCTTCTCTAACAGTTATAGGGAGACTAGTGTTCTGTAAAACCTGAGGTGGAACAAATGCACTTCAGCTACAATCAGATTTCAAAACCTTCCTATTATAAGAAGTTGAATAAAAAATTTCAAGTAGAAATACTGTGTAAAAAGTAAAATAATTTATTTTAGTAATTCTTTGAGAATAAAAGAATGGCGTATCCTCCTTCATTACTTTTTAGAATTTAGTCCTAGGCAGAGAAAAACACAGAAATTACAGTCTGCTTTTAAAAGGAAACCGTGATGTGCAAATGTTTGGGGTTCTTTCCTTTTCAATTTTAGTCAATCTTTGTTCACACATTTTAGACTGTACATCTCTAGTACTTAATTGATTGACTCATAATAAAAGGCAAAGCAGTCTTGCTTGTTGGAAAAACAGTGTTTATAGGTAATAGGCTTGGTGCTGTCTCTGAAGACAAGCTCCAGACCAACAATTCATCCAACTACCATGCAACATCAGCAGTGCTCCAGAGTAAAGTTTCTCACATCTGTATGGAACTATCTTCCCTCAACAGCAGAGATAAAATATATTCCACAGTTTTTACAGTGTTATCACAACCATTGGCTACTGCTTCTCTGGGCCTTGGCTAAGTTCATTGCTTTGCAACTGGAAAACTTTGGAAGTTGTGGCAGGGAAGAGGAAAGGAGGAGGATGAAACTGCTTGGTGCAAACTGGAACAGACGCTGTGCTCCCACAAGTTGCTGTCTGATTCCAGATGAGAAAATTTGGCTTCACCTCTGTTCGCAAGAAGCCTTGAGCCAGCTTTAGCCTAGCCTGGCTGTCTCAGCACGGTGCCTGTAGGTAAGCCGAAATGGACACTCAGAAGTTGAGTTTACTTTTGCCAGGTACCATAAAACATCCAAGGAGGGTCAGTCCCTGTCTGGTGGAATTTGGAGTCTGTAGATGAGATGGATGCAGATCAAAGGAAATGTTAGTATAACACACAAATGGAGAGGGCTATATGTTGGCCAGAACTGTTGTACTGGTGGCAGGTTTTGGAACTAGGGGAGACAGACAGTCAAAGCAAAATAGGCTCATAAAAGCTGTCTGTTTTGCTCTTCGTGAAGAACATGATCAAGAGAGAGCCCAGCTGTCAGTGGATATGCCCTCTTTGCCATCGTTTTTTTTTATCCTTCCTGTAAGTTGAACAGGAAACAACCATACAGAAAAAACTGTGCCCTCTTTTTTCATGCCATGAAAAGCACTAGAGAAGTAAGTTAATACACTGGCTTGTCCTTTTAAATGTCTGGGACAAGATAGCAAAATATATTTTTCAGTTTTAAAAACTTCCTACAATTTTAGAAGTCTTCAGAAAAAAGTCATTAAAAGCATTTAAGTGTGTTTGATGTGTAGTTTAACTGCTTTTGCAGTCAGTTGTC